GGGGCCGGGAAAGAGAAAGACGAGGACAAAGGACGATGGGACGAAGCTAAAAAAACACTAAAAACCTGCTCGATCACCTACTGGGAAAAAAAGCTAAAAATACCTGGCATCTTCTAACAAACCCCGCCCCCTCTGAGCAGCCCGGGGGTGAGCAGTGGAACAATTCAAGATTCAACCATTCAGCTGTCGTCAGAGAGTTTCCACATGGGTGACGAATGGCGTACGTGCTCTGCAGAGAAGCACAAAGAGGCCTGCCGAGACACGACTGCAGACTTACGCAACCTTCACACACACACGCTCACGGTCAGGTAACCTGGTGCTTGGCACTCTGCAGACGCCTTCATCGCTCTCATCATTGTCCTCTGACCAGCTGATTTGTCCGTCACCGTGTGCAGAGGGCGACCTTTGACATTTCAGGAGTCAGGCAGGTCGAAGCAGGTCACAGAGGAGCACGCTCGGTTCAGTGTGCGATTACTCATGCTGCAGCACATTCCTGCGCTTACCTGTCTCTTCCTTTATTGGTGAATCATATCAGGGAAACAAGGGCCTGATATGATTGAAACAAATCCTCTTTAAATGTTTAGAGATCAGGTCTGAGTGACGGCTCTGTGCACGCGCCTCATTCAGGCTCAGGGAGGGGCGGGGCCATCTGCTGCGACCGGTCGGGGTGAGAGAAGGAAGACGGGATAAAGACATGCTTTACCAGGTGTAACAATTAAGTTTAACATCCAGGCATCCATGAAAACAGAATTTATGACATTTAACGGAGTTAGAAATTAGCAGGAAGTTAGCTCGCTAGCTTCTATCTAAATACAATATAGCATGTCCTGACTGCGGGGTTTGGGAAACAAATTCAAACGTAAAGCTCTGTTATCACTTCCAACATAAATGAAGACAGAAACTAAACAGCAGTGACGTTTGTAGGGTTACTGAAGTTTGGCTAGCTGGTATATAACGATGTGCTACGTGATTGCTAGCGACACAGCTATGTTAGCATAAACACAGTGACGCTGGAGGATGAACGCTAACTTCTTTCCACTCGAAGTTAACGTGATGGTTCCTGATGGTTAGAGACAAATGTAATCGCATGGCAGGATGCTGTAAACGGACCAAACTTCAGTCAGGAGAACAACTGAGATAATCCATCCACAATACGAGGTTAGTCATTAATATACTGCTGCAGGGCTGGAGTTACATCGTAAGGGTTTAAACACTGAGCTTTAAAATGAACAGTGGTAATAAAAGCCGAGGGAGGCCGGCAGTGATCACTGACTGTTTTTAGGGGCTTTTTAGATCAAACAGAACAAGATACAAAGAATTTAAACATGTTAAAAACACAAACTCCATGTTAAACGCAGACTACTTTGGGCCCGGAAGCAGGATTCATCATGTCGTCACTTAAAGACCGAATAACGGGTATGATTTAATGCAGAGAGGTCTGTTAACACATAGTGAGTGAGAAAGGAGACTGAAAAAGAAACTCAATGCATCATGGGAATCCCCGGCAGCCTACATC